GTGAAGTGATAGTAGCTATCTATTGTGTGTACTCTTACAAAGAACGGACGATATACTGGATTTGCAATGATGTCACACGACTATACAATTATTATTATGCAAAAAGGTTGTAATGACGATAGCACACAAAGCAAATTGACGCACGATCAAGCCCACGCACTTTCATTATACTGTAACTTTATCTCAATCTGTTAATCGTTAATCCACACTTTTGTACACACGTCTGATACGATTCCAAAATTAAACACCAAAAATATACACCTAACTCACTTACTTTGCAATTCGGTTATCAATACCAAGTGGTGTATTATTTCTGTATCTCAGGGTCGCTTAAAGAAGGAGGAGGGGTGGGATGAAACTATTTATTTATTTATTCTCGTATGGAAAACTTAGAGCTATATATATATATATATATATATATATATATATATATATATTAGTAGGATAGTCGAATAATTAGGTATCAGTAAGCCAATTAAATGTTTTCGCTTTTAGATTCCGTTTTTTTAATGCGAGGTTAGTTTAAAAATTAGAAGTAAGAAATATTTTTTTATACATAGGTATAAGATGTGGAGGTGTAAAGCACAACACAACATGATTCACCTTAAAGGAGATTTATTGATTAAATACAATTTGAAATTGAAAATGTCATGAAAGAAAATTGACGGATGCTTTGCAGCAGCCGTGGTCACGGGGACACTAAAGATGGAGGGTGTCTCTGACGTCAAAGTAAAAAAACTGCTACACTAGCACGTAACAATAGTAGTTCTATGAAAACTTTCATATTTTTGACATGTTATTGCACATGAAGGCACTATATAATTTAAAAATCGAAAACAAATTGATTTTTCTTTTCAATTTTTTAGATTTTTAAATTAAATAGTAGTTATGCCTAATTTACCAAAATATGGTACTTGGACTCCCAAACAATATAAATCTTATTCACCACTACTGTATGTAATTATTTGTATGACGTGTACGTAGGTATAAAATCAAGATACAGAGGGCAAAGTGTACGAGCATAACTTTTTGTTGTCACAAAATGTGTTGATAAGAAGTCATTCAAGTATCGTTCACTTCCTTTAGATCCGTTTTGCTATATCGAGGTCAATAACCGCAACCTAACTTTAAATACAATATTCAATGTTACTTAGTGAAAAAAAAGATATCTGGAGTTCAAAGTATAGGACGTAATATTTTGATCTGCATTTTAATAGGACGTGACTTCATGTTAAAAGCAGTATCTTGTAAATATGAGAAATTTATCTATTTACTTATCAATGTATATCTTTATATTACTACTACTCTACTAATATATATCGCGTTTTAAACCGGTTAAGCGTTTAATTTAAATGTAATAAAAAAACAAGTAAGTATACCTACATCAAAATCATACAGCACACCTGTCCTGCTGTAATCGCGGCTGCTGAAAGCATTCAAAACGTCGTAAGTATGTTCCGTTTTTTAAGAGGAGAATAGACAAGTGAAATTGCCATGCACTATACGCGATGCGTTGTCGGCCTATTTTGGTTTTGGTTATTCGAAAATCCACAGACAGTAAACGAAACACTAAACGGCTTTCCATCTGTGGACGTTGGTTCGTGACCCGGACAGAATTCTTAATATTCCTACAACTCATTTAATATTTTATTACGTTGATTAATATAATTTTATACCGCTAAAATGCTTTTATATGGGCAAGTAAGTAATAGTCTCTAAGTACCCCAATAAATAATGTTTTGATTTAAAATACTTAATCAATGTTTATTTATATATCTCATATTGGACAAATAATATTATGTTGTTATGACACAGGATATAAACAATAGAGGAATATAACCAATTCTGCATCTAGTAGTAGTTAGAACTGTTATCGAGAAAGGCTGTAGGCTATACAACAATGCTCTGTGACTGTTAAGAGCGAAGAAAAAGCGGGAAATGTGGAGAAAACGGGGAAAATTAATCATATCATTGGGTTTCCGAGACGTAAGCTGCGAAAAAGATGCAAGATACCTAAAAACTATGTTTAAAAAGAATATTTAATTTAAAGACCATAATGAAAACGCTACCACAAACTATGAATTAGTCATATTGATAAGTTTGATTTATGAGTAAGTCGATGTACTAAAATTATTTCACTCAGTTTGTCATCTTCCTGTTTATTCCTTGCAATTTCTCAGTAGCGAGAATATTGTTGTATTACTATAAGCGGACCTTTGAACTTTTCGAGTTACAACACATGTATTGTCAATGAGCGTGATAGAACTCATCTGCGTACGGCGCCAACTATACAAGTCTGCGGTTGCGCACAAAGATACTTCACCTACAACATTCTGTGTATTAATTTTAAGCATAAGTGAATAACTATACTAATATATAAAGCTGAAGAATTTGTTTGAAAGCGCTAATCTCAAGAACTACTGGTTTGAATTGAAATATTCTTTTAGTGTATAAAACATCGTGCTGCAACTAATAGATAGGAGCGAAGAATCAGCGGGGACTGTGGAATAAACGGGGCAGATAAATAAAAAATATTCATCCTAGAGGGTTTTGCACGGTTCAAGATACCGAATATGTATTAAAGAATGATTCCCTTTTAAATGATCTAAAAAATATCCGCGAAACTATATGTCTGTACTTTTAGATTAACTTGCTAGAATAACGGGACGCGAACGGCTCGGCTTTGGATTTTCAGAAATGCACAGACTGAAACCAAAACGTAATTAAACTTCTAGGTCTAGGTTCGTGACGCCGACAAAATGACGATATTCCTCCCATATAGTAATATCCAGGTTACAAAAATGTTGGAAACAGTGACGATAGAAACCAAAGACCCGATGTTTTTCTTATATTAGTTAATTCTTGGTGTATTCAAAAGGGGTCATCCATATAGTACGTCACACGTAACACACACTAGGGAGGGGGTCTCAGAAATGTGACCACCTGTGACAAGGACGGGGGGGGGGGTCTCAAAAAATCATAATCATAAAATCCGTGTGACGTACTTTATGGATGACCCCAAAGAATCCAGCTTCATAATAATTAATACTTTTCACGGTGCCGATCCACCACTTCATATGAGACATAATTACTTCGAAACGACCACCTTTGATCTATATTTGAGTGAAAAATCCAGGTAAGTAAAATTAAGTCAAACTCTTTACTGGCGTAAAAGATGCGTCGAGAATTCATTTCGCATCCTTTGAAGAGACCGTTAAGTGAAGATAATCGGTAGCTAACAATTCTTCCACGGCTTTTGGAATATTGCCCTAAGTGGCTACCCACAGAGTTCTACGAGGGATGGCACATTCCATAGATAAGATAGCAAAACGCATTGCGATCAGACGAGTCACCACAAAAGCAGCTTTGAAGTATATTTTTTTTTTTAATAATAAATACACATACCTATAAAATAAAGATTCAATATTGTATGTATAATTGGGTCTTTGAAAGAAAGCTATTTTATATTTATAAGTAAATGTTCAATGCAATCAAGAAAGATAGCCAAGTAATGCAGCTGGCTGACTCATAAAATAACACAATACAAACGTTTGTATGTTCGGGTTTATTGCCTACTCTAGCAATGAATGAGTTTATTCAATTATCGATACCAAGAACCAATCGTGACGATGAGCTCTCATTAATAAATGAAGATAGACAAGCATAAATACTAAGTGTCAAATTCATTTTTCAAGAGTATTACATTTTGGCACAATATAAGTCGTCGTTTAACTAATGGATCGACATTAATTGATTATTATTTATTGTAAGTTATTGAACAATATGTTTACAAAGTTCTTGGTGAAAATACATTATTTTTATATTTAAGTGAACAGTACTGTGCATTTTAATTTATGCTTACATGCGTCTTAAAAAGTAAACCGTTGTTCCCGAAACTTTTTACATGAATAAGAGGATATTTGTTTTTTCTCTCTTCTTTGGGATGAAAAATAACATAATATAGAATAATAAATCAATAATTTCAATCTCAAATAGACTTTTAATTTGTGTGTGTTAACAAAAAAAAAGTGAAAATATTTTGTATAATAAACTATTTATTTATTTATTAATTCTAATCTTAAACTCTTCGCATTAGTTTCATCTTATTGGCAAATATTTGAAAAACATGTTGACTTATTTTATTGTATGTCTTCTGCCACAAAAAAAGGATTTTGTACAAATTACAGTACTATTTTAACGGGATATGGAAAAAGTTTATTTCTTCCTAATAGTATTAAGCTAGCTATGCCTGCGACTACGTCCGCGTAGAATAGTGACTATGGGTAGAATTTTTAATATTTAGGCAGTTTATTTATTTATAAAACGGCACATTTAACACTCCCACTTTTACCTTACATCACTCCTACTCTAACTCCCACTCCCATACCCAAAAAGCCAAAGAAAAGTCACGAATTTCCATTAAAACCTTTCATCCCCTAACAACCCTTTTTTGACATTAAGAAGTAGCATATGTCCTATCTCAGGCTGTAGAATATCTGTGTACCAAGTTTAATTCAATCGATTCAGTGTATTGTCGTTGAATCCGGACAAACAGACAGAGTTACTTTCGCATTTATAATATTAGTATAGATTATTGTAAATGTTTGCATATAGTCTGTTTATATACCTTTTTAGCTTTATTTATCTGCTTTTACGTCTGTGATAAATGACATATTAATAAAAAATAAGTGACAGTCAGCTTAATTGTCATTGGTGTCGACTGTCATTATGTCATTAGACAGTGCTTATGGCGGGAAATACTCTCCTTGTTATTGTAGTTAAGTTTTGTATATTTTTATCAAAAAGTATTGTATTCTTTTAATTTCGTAATTAGCAATTATCACAGCATAGTAAAATTTAAGAACATTTACAACCCTTTAGTATTCTGAAACTGAAGACTTTTTTATAATAATTACGACTTCTAAGTAAAACAATAAACCCATCAAGATCTAAATTATTTTTGCGTGTGTTCATATAACTACAGTGAACTTTATTTTGTTATGGATAAACGAAAACACTATAAAGGTCCACCTCCAAAGAGGCAGAAATCAAATGACGACGATGAAAATGACATACCAGCAAGTTTTGAAGAGCGCCTGGCAGGAATGGAATCTGACTTTGACACTCCTGAAGTATTTGGAGACGGTCCGGAAAATCAAAACACTAATATGAAATGGTGTCGACCAAATCCACCCGCTTTAAACCCAGATCTGGATTCTCTGATATTTCAACAGTTTGATATTGATCATTATAATGGTAAGCCTATATCTGGTATGCCAGGTTCTCAGTTAGCACCCGTACCAGTGATGAGAATGTATGGTATCACCATGGATGGTAATTCTGTCTGTTGTCATGTACATGGGTTCACACCTTACTTCTATGTCACTGTTCCTTCCAACTTTACTTCATCATCTTGTTTAGAGTTAAAAACAAATCTTAACAAAGCTATTTTAGAAGATCTGCGAAATAATAAAGATAATATAAGAGAAGCAGTGTTAGAGGTAAAATTACTCAAAGCTAAATCTTTAATGTACTATAAAGGGGATAGTGAAGTAACATATGCAAAGATTTCAGTTGCCTTACCAAAACTAATAGCAGCTGCGAAAAGACTAATTGAAAGACAACCGCCTTCCTTTAGCTTACTAGATCCTTCTTTTTATGAAAGCAATATTGACTTTGATATTAGATTTATGGTGGATACGTCTGTTGTGGGCTGTAGTTGGATAGAATTGCCACCCAAAAAATGGTCTTTAAGAACCAAGAATGGAATATTGTCACCCGTATCCAGATGTCAACTTGAAGTTGATGTAGCATGGAATGGTTTTATAGCTCATCAGCCTGATGGGGAGTGGTCCAAGGTTGCGCCTGTGAGAATATTGAGTTTTGATATAGAATGTGCTGGCAGAAAAGGAATTTTTCCAGAACCTGAAAAGGATCCTGTTATTCAAATAGCATCAATGGTTATTAGACAAGGTGATACAGAGCCATACCTCAGAAATGTATTCACTCTGAATACATGTGCTCCTATTGTTGGATCCCAAGTATATAGTTTTCAATCAGAATCAGAGATGTTGTCAAAATGGTCTGACTTTTTCAGAGAATTAGATCCTGATATAATTACTGGGTATAATATTAATAACTTTGACTGGCCCTATCTAATCAATCGCGCTAAGCACCTAAAAGTAGAAAGTTTTGATTTTTTAGGGCGTATAAGAAATATTAAGTCAGTTATAAAAGATTCTGTTTTACAATCTAAACAGATGGGTAGAAGGGAAAACAAAAGTATAAACTTTGAAGGTAGAGTTCCATTTGATTTGCTTCTTGTCCTGGTTAGAGATTACAAACTGCGATCATACACACTGAATGCAGTAAGTTATCATTTTCTCCTAGAACAAAAAGAAGATGTTCATCACAGTATAATTTCTGACCTACAAAATGAAAATGAACAGACACGACGCCGATTGGCGATGTATTGCTTAAAGGATGCTTATTTACCAATAAGACTATTAAATAAATTAATGTGTATCATTAACTATATGGAAATGGCTAGAGTAACTGGTGTACCTCTATTATGTCTTTTAACTAGGGGCCAGCAAATTAAAGTTGTCAGTCAGTTGCTTCGGAAAGCTAAAGATGCCGGATATTTAATGCCTGCCTATCATGGTCAAGGCTCTGATGACCAATTTGAAGGAGCAACTGTAATAGAACCTAAGAAAGGTTATTATGCTGATCCTATATCAACATTAGATTTTGCTTCCCTATACCCTAGTATTATGATGGCACACAATTTGTGTTATACTACTTTAGTACCACCAAATTTGCAAAAAGAATTGAACCTTAGTCCAGAAAATACGACGATTACACCTCTTAAAAACACGTTTGTGAAATCGCATATAAGGAAAGGTCTTTTACCAGAAATTTTAGAATCACTTTTGGCTGCAAGAAAAAAAGCAAAAGCTGATTTAAAAGAAGAAAAAGATCCTTTTAAGAGGTCTGTTCTAGATGGGAGGCAGTTAGCTCTGAAAATAAGTGCTAATTCAGTTTATGGATTTACAGGTGCCCAAGTTGGAAAGTTACCTTGTCTTGAAATATCAGGAAGTGTTACTGCATATGGACGGACAATGATAGAATTTACTAAATCAGAAGTAGAAAAAAAATTTACGAAAACAAATGGTTACAAAGAAGATGCTATTGTAATTTATGGTGACACAGATTCAGTCATGGTGAAGTTTGGAGTTAAAACTCTAGAAGAAAGCATGGAATTGGGGAGAGAGGCTGCTGACTTTGTTACATCTAAATTTGTGAAGCCAATCAAGTTAGAATTTGAAAAAGTATATTATCCATATCTCCTCATAAATAAGAAAAGGTATGCTGGACTATATTTCACCAAACCAGGCTCTTATGATAAAATGGATTGTAAAGGTATAGAAACTGTTCGTCGAGATAATTGTCCACTTGTGTCTAATATGATGAGCACTTGCCTGCAAAAACTGCTCATCAATAGAGATCCTAATGGCGCTGTTTTATATGCTAAGCAAATCATTTCTGACTTACTGTGTAATAAAATTGATATTTCACAGCTTGTTATAACCAAAGAGCTTGCTAAAAGTGACTACGCTGCCAAACAAGCTCATGTAGAATTAGCAAATAAAATGAAGAAGCGAGATGCAGGTACTGCTCCTAAACTGGGAGACAGAGTACCCTACATAATATGTTGTGCAGCAAAAAATACGCCAGCTTACATGAAAGCAGAGGATCCAATCTATGTACTTGAGAATAGTGTGCCTATAGATTTCAATTATTATTTAGAAAATCAATTGTCAAAGCCGTTATTGCGTATTTTTGAACCCATTTTAGGTGACAAAGCAGAGTCTCTCTTGTTAAAAGGGGAACATACTAGAACTAAAGCAATGGTAACATCTAAAGTGGGTGCTTTAGCTGCCTTTACAAAAAAAAAGGAAAAGTGCATTGGATGTAAAGTAGTTTTGTCTAATGATTCAAGAGCTCTGTGTGATCATTGCTTAGAAAAAGAGGGTCAACTGTACATTACAGAAATATTTAAAGTAAGGCAGCTTCAAGAGAAATTTTCAAAGTTATGGACAGAATGCCAAAGGTGTCAAGGTAGTCTACATGAAGAAGTCTTATGTACAAATAGAGATTGCACAATATTTTATATGAGAAAAAAAGTTGGAATGGAACTAGATACTCAAGAAAAAACTGTTTTAAGATTTGGAGAACCATTGTGGTAAACATACCCATGTAAAAATAAAATACATTTTTGCAAGTTAATGATTTTATTTATTTAATATAAGTAAACAGTAGTAAATAATTAATAATAACAAAATTCACACTGACAAAAATTTTAATACAAAGTTAAGGATTTCATATTAAAATAGTTACAAAGAGATCTAAGGTTCTTGAGTAATATTTAAATCTGTTAATTCTCTAAGAACATTGGAGTCAGAGGTTAATAACTACAGAACTCACCTGAACATTAAATTTTCATCTTAAATTTAAATATTTCCCTGGAATGATGAACATGACTGAATAAAAGTGTTTGTATAGATCTAAATAATACTTTAAGTACAAACTTTTAATTTACCCTATTGCTAAATTTTTGTATAAACAATACATTTTTATAAATAACAAACAAGTAGAATTTTCTACATTCTTAAATTAGGATATACATAGTAGTAGGTTTTTTCGAGAATGTTATGTTGTAGGAATAAATCATTAGCCTAACCATTAACAAAGTCTTACTTTAACTTCTTTACTGTTGATACACTGTCATATGTTATTTTTTGTAAAATAATATAATACACTAGCTGTGCTAGCGACTTCGTCCGCGAGAATAGTTATTTTAGACATTCAAATAAGTTTTTGCAAACCCCGCCATCTTTATAAACTTAAGCGACGTCAATCGCGTCCCTTTCCGTCGTTCATGCAAGTTGATCTTAAAAAATAGGCATATGGCGTCGCGGACTTCTTTTTAGGTAATTTAAAGAGGAATTATTCTGTGATACACATTCGCATCTGAAGCCCACAGAGATGAAAAAATTTATTCACATTTCCCGCTGTATCTTCGCTTCTATTAGTGACAGCCCGATTTTTTTGGCCTATAGCCTTCCTTGATAAATGTTCTAACCAACACAAAAATAATTTTTCAATTCGAATCCGTAGTTCCTGAGCTTAGCGCGTTCAAACAAACAAACAAACTGCAGCTTTATATATTAGTATAGATGTTGAATATCACAGTAAAATCTACATACATGTATAATGACATACTGTTCCAATTTACAGAATTGATTCTTACAAATATTATTCTCAGTAGGTACTTATAATAACAATTGATTCAAAACAAAATAGGGAATGACTACACAAAGTAGATTAACTTTTCACCTGTTTTCTTGGGACAGGGAGCGAGAAAAGTTTGCCTTACAGTTTTTTGCTGCCAACTGTTTAGAGGCATTTGGAACAGGCATTTCAAATGGTGTTACATTTCCTGTGGCACTTGTAGTTAATTTCATAATGTCTTCAAGAGTGCGAATAAAAGTATCACAAGTAGACTTTAACAAGCTTGAAGCTTCATTAATTTTCTGAAAAAAAAATGACAACATTGGGTTATATTTATATTAATTATATGTGATATACAGTAAAGTTTTATGAAAAAAGCACCTCAACATCAGGCTCGGAGTCATTGTTAGCAGCACTTTTAACAGCGTGAACTTGTTGCATAAGTAAATCACAATAGAGGTGCAGTTCTGATTTCTTCTCACTTAATGCATCTTCAAATCCAATAACTACAAAAAATGTATTTGATACTGTATTTGCTACTAAATTGTAAATTCGTCCAATCAAGTTGAGATATATAAAAGTAACATTATTATTCATGGGTAAAACAGTAAGGAAATGATTTGGACTGATCACCCAGTCTTCTATTGGTATCCTCAAAAGAAAATAATATAAAGAACATTACTTTTCATAAAGACCAAAAACTCTAGCCTTTGAAAATATTTCTATTACCTTTAGCATCAGCAATTGACTCTAGGCATGCTTTGGCACTACCTAATGCTACAAGCCATTTTTGTCGATCTTGTGGAGAGGGTGCTCTCAAATACATATGTTGCTGACCAGGAATAACTAAATCCATTCTAGTGTTGTCTATGTTACTCACTGAAAATTATTTAGAAATTTTAATTAATTAACAAAATTTTTAAGTATTGTTGTTATTCAAGTAGCAACAAAGAATCATAACTAACCATTTATTTGGCAAACTGAAACTTTCACTGAGCCTTTACATCCTTGACTGGCTTCATCTTGTGATTTGTAATATGATAATACTCCATTATCCAAAATAAACCATCTTGTTTGCCAACCTTTAAGTGGAAATAAGTATTATTATAAAAAGATTTTCATTTGAAAATCTACACAGTATGTGATCTTACCATTCCAATAATTTGTCCACTTCCATAATATACCCTCCATGAATGCTGACTGGTTTGTGTATACTTTAAGATTACGACGTTACGTACTTAACTAGAGTGTTATGTTTGATAAGTCCTTCAATATTTCATACATAGTGATTAATTAACACGTAATCCTAAAAAAGTAAAAGTCTACCAGATTTTCGTACTTTCGATATCTGTATGTTTTAAGAGTTAAAATTAAGTAGATATATTTGAATACGTGTGGTTATTTCGGAATAAGTTTTAAATCCACTACAATCCTTAGAATTTATAAAATTATGATTCGGTACAATAATATTGACTTCGTTTTTCTAAGTTTAATTATTATAACACTCAGTAGTGAGTACCGACTAGTGACTATTGACAAGGGTTAAATAAATTGGTTATCGCCAGTGCCAATTGGTTGGTACAGCTGACATGCAAATATTAAAATAGAATTAATAATTTTATCCTCTCCTATTCAAGGAATGGATTGTGATTCCTCTGTTTTAATTAATAACAGACCTAGTGTAAGTAAACTAGCGTCATTTCAGCATCAAAATAAAATACTTCGTACTAGCTTTTTCTGAGCTTAAAATCTCCACAGATCATAATAATAATTATTAATCTTTAACGAACCGTTTTAATTGAAAGGAAATATAAAGATTCAAGAAACATTCAAGGAATGTTGTACTTGATTGTACTATGTTCGAAAAAAATCGTTGCACCTAAACGACATCGATGCTCAAAAAACGCGAGTATTGGGATCGCTTGCGACCATAGGTTATATTGCAAGGAATAAGTTAACCGAGGATTTTATAATCTGTGACTGGGCGGGTCAAACAGTCAACACCAACAGTGTTTGAGTTTGGTTGATTTCGGTTTTCTTTTTTTAGTTATAGATTTTAAAATGTATTAGAACTAGTTCATTTATAACTATAAAATGATGATGAATTATGTCTAGAATATCTCGAGTACAGTTTGAAAATATATTATTGTGCTTATAACTTTTAATACTTTACGACACATACACAAGTCAACTGCCTTTTTGACTTGTAACTTGCTCTAAAGTATTATAAATAAAAACTCAGAAGTTAACGCCTTTTAGCTTGTTAACTTGTCTAACAGAATATCTAGTATCTATGCAAAAAGTAAAATGGGTCGAATAAGCGTGATATGTTTCTTCACATTTCTGCATGTGTGTATAAGCCAAGGTTGGTCTGTGTTCTATTTTAATTTAACTAAAAAATATTAGCCAGGATGTTATTCAATGAAATACAATCTCCTTTGCAGTGGATTCATTGGAATGCTATGTGTGTGAAAATCAGGAGGATAATACTGAGAAGTGTGTGAAAACTATTATGACCTGCGAATATAATCAGGATGTATGCTTGACGGAAATTAAGTGGGGAAGTACACCATATTGGTCCCAAGGAGCTAAAAAACAGTACTATGTCTCTAAAAGATGTTCAAATAAGACTGAGTGCGCTATAACAAGACAACATTATATGCCTCTTTGTACTCATATCTGGTACCAAGATTGGGTGTGTTCAGATTGTTGTCAAGGCGATCGCTGTAATTATTATATTATTGTAAGTTAACATACATAACCTTGATTGTAGATTGGAATTATTTGAGAAACAAAATATTAAGTTTCACCCTGCCTGTATAATCAATACAAATTTATCTAAATTATTGTATTATTTTGTATTTCAGAATGGAGAAGCAGCTACCAAGCCACTACTTAGAGTATTACTCAGCTCTATAGTTTTAAGTTTTATTTGTAGTATTTACTAATAGTATATTATGTACTTTTTCTATACTGTCCATGTAAAACAACAATTTTATATGTTAGGCATCTGCCTTAATAACACAGGCATAAATAGGTATATGGATTTTTTTAACACTTATATTATTTTGATGATATATTTTTCTTGAGCAATATATAATAGCTAAACTTATTTAGCGGGGAGACTGAAGATGGAGAATGTCTCTGAGGTTAATTATATTATTCTTCTAATCCATCCATTTGGTTGCTAAATTTAAGATCTAGTTTGTGACTATAACTGAGAAGAATAATAATAATAAGTTGTAATGAAGTTTCACAAAAAAAATCCCTGTTATGAACTTTTATATTGTGTACAATTTTTTTATGTACTTTGTTATTTAAATTGTCTAAGCTTATGTTTTAAAGCTTTAAATCATTATGTATTCCGTCCATGTTTAGGTTTACGTAGTTTTTATCTAAGATATCTATTTTTACAACACAAATATATAAATTATATTGCATTTACTTCATTCTTTTTTATTTAAAAAACTTAAACACTATCCTTATATAGCCAGTCTGTCTATAGTATAAGGTGTACATTCATGAAAACATAATATTTTTGTTTTTGAGGCAGGGCTTGGCTAATAATTATCGTGTTACCATAAATTTAATGAATATTTGAATAAGATGATTCATTTCACTAATTATTTCCACTACAAGTACGTGGTTAACTGATAATTCGTAACTTTATTAATTTTTATTTTTTGATTAGTTGATCGAATCGTGTACTTGTATGGCTACTAATCAATAAGTCGTGAGTTAAATCCCCAATAGGTAATACCTATTTTTTTAAGAATTTTAAAAAACTTATATTTTTCCAAGTAGGATTAAAGCTATTTTCGCATTTTATTTGTAATGGCAGAATCCTTTTACATGAAAACTGTTTTTATAAGATTAGAATCGGCCGAGACTACAAAGTCTCAATATATATTGTCCTATTCTATGCTAGAAAGCCTAAGTTTTTATTTAATTAGCCATGTTAAAAATATCCGATTGTGTTACTTGGCGTAAATTAAATACATTACTCTATAGTCTGTGACGTAAGCTTTGCCATAAGTGCAGATAATGTTTAAGCATGTATATTCTGTTGAAGCATAATATGATTGGTAGAGTTTGCCACAGCTGTATTTCTCTGTGGTCAACCTAAACATTTTTTTTATAAGAATTTGTGAAAGAATTATTGACGTCGCGTCCTGTGGCCGCATCGTCTTACATTTTTTACTTTTCTGGATAATTCTTTATATAAAAAAGTACAATATCATAGAGTTTATAAGTAACAATTATTGTCGATCACAACACAAAAGTAAATATGTATCGATGTAACCCGATAGCGGTACTTATATTATTGGTAAGAATTTCATTGCTATATTATACGTTGATCTCAATTTGTACACGTATTTATAAAGTTTGTCAACTTTATGGGTTGTTAGGGTAATTTAATTATTCGCTCTTGATTACGCTGAACTGTTATTTTTCAGATATGCCACACTCTATATAACCCAACCGATAGCGGTGCCGTGCAAATTACTCAAAGTAATTTAGATATGGTTTTAGGTAAGACTACATAAATAATGCCATGTCAAAATATTTGATTACCGAATCGTAATTTTATTTGCTTGTTTTTCTTTTCAGCGTCTAATGAGGTAGTTTTTATTAATTTTTATGCTGACTGGTGTAAGTTTAGTAATATGCTTATGCCCATATTTGATGATGCGGCTGACGAGGTGTCTAAAGCCGGTTATGACCCAGGCAAAGTTGTAATGGGTAAAGTTGATTGTGATAAAGAACCAGCAGTGGCCACAAGATTTCATATTACCAAGTACCCCACTTTAAAACTATTTCGCAACGGGTTGCCAGCCAAAAAAGAGTATAGAGGTATTCTTTTCTAATTTTACAATAACATTTTAATTTAGAGCACTGTATTGCTATCAACAAGTATTTGAATTAATTACATGTAATTAAAAACCTGCCATTAAATAAAAAAACTATTACAAGCACTATATAATAATATAAACATATATCCGATAGTATTTTTAAAGATTATTTTTTTTTTACCAGTAAGCCTTGTTCAATTTATAAACATTTATCTCATATGTTTATAGGTCAGAGATCAGTAGAAGCATTTGCCGAATTCATGAAGAAACAATTGACTGATTCCATTGTTACATTTAGTACTCTTAAAGAACTTCACAGCTTAGCTGAAGATAAGAGGCACATCATTGGTTATATGGATAGGAGGGACCAGCCAGAATATGAAGTGTTACGAAAGGTGGCTGCCACCCTTAAAGATGAGTGTATATTCCATGCTGGTTTTGGAGATGCCTCAGAACAAATGCACCCTCCAGGTATAAAACAGATGTTTTAACTATGATAAAATTGCATGTATAATGGAAAACAACACACAAATTAAATTTGTGTGTACATTACATAGAGAGGTCAGAGTGGCATGCTTTGGGAGAGGCCTACATCCAGCAGTGGACCCGAACGGGCTGATAATGATATGATGTTGTACATTACATTGTAATAAACGGAAATCTGCATTGGCATAAATATTTATATGTATTAACTACCTAACTTACTCTCTAATGAAGCCTTTTTAACAGTTTAAAATGCCAAATTTATTACTTAAATTATTTGAACCTGCTACTGAGACATTGAGTTGAAGTTATAATATATTTACAAGTTAAACTGGTTATTACACTTTACATTTATATTAAAGTAAAATATTTACACGATACCATTTCCACTTTGGTTACAACAGTATGTAAAGATTGCATAGCCTTGTAATTATTGTCAAATTGCATTATGTTGTATTGTCATGTATGTGAGTGCCATGCCAAGCTCAGATGAATTGAAGCTAAACTGAATAATTTCCAGGTCAGCCGATAGTTGTGTTCAGGACGGATAAAAAAACATCAGTGGAACCAGATGAAACCTACATGGGTTCATTATTGGACTTTGATCAATTACATACTTGGATTCAAAAGAAATGTATACCCTTAGTGAGAGAAATAACATTCGAAAATGCAGAGGAACTCACGGAAGAAGGATTACCGTTCCTAATTCTTTTCTATCATCCTGACCATACTGAAAGTATTAAGAAGTATAAAGAAATTGTGGCAAGGGAACTTGAGTCAGAGAAACGTATGTTCCTTATTGTTTAATTATATAAAAAGTTGGTGGATGCTAAGATTTCCTGACCTCCCCTACTAGGGAATTTGGGTGAAATCCGAGTCTGAAAAAGGAAAAAGTAATAATAATCAATGCCTGCAGTATTATTGTCACTGCTGCCATTTCTCTTATTACTAATAGCAAGAAGTTCTAGTTGTATTTTATATTAATAAAAATGTAATTTTCACAGAGAATGTAAACTTCTTGACGGCTGACGGTGTGAAATTTGAGCATCCGTTGCATCATTTGGGAAAATCTGTGGCGGATTTGCCTCTTATTGCAATTGACTCTTTCCGCCACATGTACCTCTTCCCCGATTACAAGGAGATGGAGAAACCTGGCAGATTGAAAGAATTTTTACAAGACTTGTATTCTGGAAAGTTGCACAGGTATATTTTAATAGTACATTATTACTGTGACCGGCAAGAGAGGTATTGATGAACATTTAAATTAACCCTTTTATAAGTTACCTCTTTGATCACCATGTTGCGAGTAGATTGTCCATTTTTTAATTGCATGACAAATATAATTTTACTTACAACTATTGCTGGCCACTCTTAGACCAGAGTACAGTAAATTGGATGTATCTGATGTCAACCTGAGGTTGTCAAAGTTTTTCTCAAATTTACAAGCAGGTTTTAGACAAAGTTACCCATACTGTATATAAAGCTGAAGAGTGTTGTGATTGAGTATGAGGATTCCCAAAAAAAATTGTGTCATCAGCAAGTAGAGAATGTTTTGATTTTAACAGGTTTTTGAAGTCAGTAAGGTATAAGATGAACAGCAATGTATTAAGATTAACTTGCAAAAATGTCGTCGTAGGTAACAGGTAGAATTTATGAAAATGTGGAGGAGGTTCGCAAAAACTAATTTTGTTTCCCAAAATAACTGTTATACGCGAAAGAAGTCGCTGACACAGCTAGATTATTATGATTGTTTAATACTTGTTATATTTCTTTTCACCTGTGCAAACATAGCAGATGTCATAATCTAGTGATATTGTTCACCCTTGAGATTTTTTCAGACTAAAAGATGCTTTCTCTTTCAACTGACTGTATGCCGTATGATCAAATATTTCCTTTTTTTTACAGAGAATTTCACTACGGTCCCGACACACCACATGTGATTGTAAATAATGAATTGAAAGTAACTACGCCACCAGAGTCTACGTTCAAAAAGCTAGCTCCTTCTAAAAATAGGTATACCCTGCTTCGGGATGAGTTATAAGGCTTGTATTGTGAACATACCCACTTGTAGCAGTTTATTTTTTATTTTTGTCACCTTTTATTTATTAGCACGAAATGAATTATCTTAGATTATTGTAATGGGTTGAATAATGCTCAATTGATTGCAAGAAATAATATATAATGAAATAGATATTTCAATTTTTTATATCCATAGTATCTTACTATGTTGTCCATATGATTTTAATTACAATATATGACTATGATGTATTTTATATAAATCAATTGCTTACAAATAGTAAAAGCTTTTAGTATGTATATGTCCCCCCATTATATTGCAGAATTTACTTCACCTATAACAATATTCTTGATTTTAGGAATTAGGTTGTAGGCAACAAATTGTTATGTGCTTTTTAATGTAAGTAGAACAATCAAATAATTTATCTTGGATTTTCTTAGATATCTTAGACATCAACTTACAGGGGACATGTAGTTTGGGGCAAAAGATATATTATGTCACATGTTTGGTGCGGGGGATCTGAATTACGTTCATACTAGGTACTACAATAAAGAACACCAGCCCCAACAAGAAGGGATAGGATAAGATAATTTTTGTAAAGTACTTACTACCTATTTGTACAAAATTGAAGGAATCTTATGCCGTATATAAAAATGTTCAAAATATAAGTGAAGAATTTAATAAAATAATTATTGATTCCCCTCACTGTGGCAAACTTCATTCATATCCCCTGTATGTATAGTGCAGCAAAATATCGTATTTCAATATTTATCATTATTTAGTAAATTGGCTTAAATGTCCTAATATATAGTAAACTTGATAACCTAGGTTAGACTTCATCCAAGTAAGACCCAATTCAGTTTCACACCGATATAGGATACATCTACAAATCAAAATGCATTTATAATATTAAGTAACTTGAAATATTTCTTAAATCACATTATTTTTCTTTCTCATGCGCTTGGATTTAGTTGAACTATTATTAACGATAATCTTAACACTTTGTATACATTCCCCTATTCCGTATTTTTTTGTGTTTTTCATAAATAAATATTATTATTATCAACTTTGAATGTGTAGGTTAATTTATGTCGATTTAAACGGACTGTTAAATTATTCGCAAACTTACAAAATGTTTGTTTTATTTAGTTCCCAGTTAATTTCAAAATCTTTTTTGTTTCTTTCTTGCTTGTTTTACCTTCTCTGTTTAGATATATTAAATGATGTACTACTTTTTATCTTCAATTATCATTCTATCATTACTAGTCTAGGCTAAATCTCTGCTTCCGCCCTTATTTGTAGAAAAACTATGTTTAAGTATCTTATATTTGCTATCCTTTCTTTAGGAGGCACCTGATAAAGTTAAAATTAAGTAACAAATTATGTACACAGTTTGAAGTATATATTTTGATAATTACTTTCTGTATAGTTAGCGCACATGTATCTATAAACATACTTATTTGAATGTTTTATGTAACGATTTGTGACTTGTAGCATTTTTATTTCCGATATTGTATAATTAGATTTAACTTCATTATTTAATATAGTATAACAGTTATGTGTTTATAAAAATAGATTTGGGCCCAATTTTACTAAGATTTCATATCATAACATTGATAATTAAAGATAACAGCTATTATTACATTTAAAAAGTAGAATTAAACGGTCAAATACCGTTAATCGATGTGAGTTCTTGTTGAAATTGGACCTAAAATTTTACACTGAAGCACTAATCAGTTTTAAAATTTGACATGCTACGATACCTTTGCTTGGAATTACACTTAAATTGCCATTTTTAAAATTAGGTATAATCCTGTACCTATGTGTAAATGATTGTACAAAGGTGTGTTTTGTGATGAGTGTAATAGTATCATGTAATATCTATTATTAATTATAATAAAATTTTCAATCCTTTATTTTGTCTTTAATCTCGGGCCCCGTATTTTATTACAACGTGAACACGAAATCATTGGCAAAGTGAAAATAAATATAGAAGTACAAGTATAAAGCAAGATTTTCATTGATAGCGTAAACTGTACTAATATATAAACCTGAAGAGTTTGTTTGTTTGTTCGTTGAACGCGCTAATTTCAGGAACTGCTAGTTCAAATTGAGAAATTCTTTGTGTTAGAGCATTTATTGAGAAGGGCTATAGGCTAAAACATATCGCTGTGACTAATAGGAGCGAAGATACAGCGAGAAATGTGAAACAATTTGCGAAAATTATACATCATTATAGGTTTCCGAGGTGGACGCAAAAAGGGTCCACGAATGATTCTTCTATAAATGATCTAAAAAAAATTCTGCGACTGTATATGTCCATCTTAAGATTAACTTGCAAGAACGACGGGAATGGACGCGACCGAGGTTGTGGGTAACAGCTTAGGTTTATAATGATGAAGGGGTGCATAAACAAAATTGGATGCCCATATATATATGCCAATAACGATTCTCGCGGACGAAGTGGCTGGCACAGCTAGTACTTGAATTTAACTCAACTAGAAAAAGAGAAAAGCAAGAAACCTTATTAAAACTAAAACAGGAAAGCGTTATAGTTTGAATCAATTTTTATAGACAGGGGACTCTCTGTTATTAAAATTATAAATAAGTTAGCTAATACATTTTGCTTTATACCGTTAACAGTGTTTTATAGTCTATGAACTACCTCAACATTTTATCAAGACGTAAATGAGTCAAACCTCAACTCTCATAAACTTTCTCATCATAAGTACCACTAGCTGTGTCATCGACTTCGTCCCCGTAGAAAAGTTTTTTTGGCCAGCAAAATTTGTTTTTGCAAACCTCGTCAACTTAAAATATAGCTATTATTCAAGACGTCGGTCCCTTCTCGTCGTTATTACAAGTTAATTTTAATACATACATATACTATCGCGGACATATTTTTAGATAATTTAAAGATGAATCATTCTTTCATACCTATTTTTGAAACCAAAAACCCCTTAAAGAAGAATATATTTCCCTGTTTTTTCCACATGTCCCACTGTTCCTTAGCTCCTATTGGTCGCATCGTGATATTTTATAGCCTAAAGCCTTCTTTGATAAATGCCCTAGCTCCTTACTAATACAAAAGTATTTTGTCAATTCGAACCAGTAGTTATTAATATTAACGCGTTCAAACAAACATCAAACTCTTCAGCTTTAGCTATTAGTATAGATTAGTGAAACACTTGAATAGTATTATAATTTCTAGATTTACTACTTACAATATTACTAGCGTGAACAACTGACACAAGGAAAAAATTAAAATGACGAGGGTCATTCAACGGCGTCAAATTTGTCATTAGCTGCTCTCGTAGTTACGGCGGACTGTTTTGTAAAACAAACTGTTCAGGACATCGTTTTTTGCTCAATGGTAAGGATAGCTTCGTTTATGAAGCGCCGCTTCGCAGCGGGGAGTCTTCAATCAGCAGAATTCTAGTGATCTCATTTTTTGTAGGTATAAAGTATGAATAAAATTATGCTTCTCTTTGAAATAGAAGGTGCAAAAATAAACTAAATTGGAGGGTAGTTTGTGACACAAGGTCTTAATCTCTAGTGAATTGCTAAGGGAAACTTCTAGTAACTTAGTTGTCAGAAAAGGATAAGTAGGTACCTATGATAGCTTCAATATAGAATGTATTAGTAAGTTATAATTATCTTCTCGACAGAAATATGCCCCATACAAAAATAAAACATAGAGTAAACGCTTTAAATTTGGATAAAAGAAAAATACATTGTGAAAAGTGAGTTCGAGTCTTAGCCCTACTAGTTTTTTTAATATAGTGCATATTCAACATTTCATATTTACCATTTTATAGATACTCCCCAGTGTCTGTTTTTTTTAATGAATATAATAAAAAATAGACAATCTTGTTTTTTGCCTTGTACAAAGGAGACAAAACGTCACCTTCTAACATGGGAACAGCGTGCGAACCTGTGCATGCGCATTGTGTGGACAGGTACTTTGAACGATCTTGTTACACTTTCAATGAGCATTCACTCCTTTAAAAATTCGATACTTTGCGAAGTTCCGATCAGATAACAGCAGCATCCGTAAGAAAGGAAACAAGTTGCCAATAAACTATAAGAAATTATATTTGCTCTTTAACTGTTCCCACTGTTGGGATTCGGATCAAAGGCTGTGGTCCTAGGACTGTGTGGTCGGTGGACATAGGTACTACTAGAGCAACAAGGATCTGTAAAACTATAACCTAATAATAATAGTAAGAATTGGAAATCGGAAAGTGCACATTCGCCACCACAGTCATGATAGTAGAATAGTCAAAGATAAATGTTGTCGACAATGCATCCTAGTAAAGTGTTTTTGGGGTGGGTAATTTCACCTTTCATCATAATAGCACTACGCTTTCTTTACCTCATCTGTCATAAACATTTCTTTTGTCAAGAAGTAATTTAAATCTACGAAATTTTATGTAATAGAACTGTTCAAAGGAGTAACACAACCGTTCACCAGTAGCAAATGAGAACATCGTTCAGGGTAGAATTACTGTTTAATCAAATGATTGCGCAGGACACAGAGAAACTTACGTGCATGGCTATTATGTCATTATGAAAATTGTAGATCGCTACACGTTTGATTTCCTATTTCTACCGTCTTTACTGGGGTCTAGAAGAAATCGTAAGTTGTAGACTGGGTTATAGAACACGAAATAATATCTTTAAAGCGATGACAGTCAGATGATCTTAAAAAGTAGTTGTCAACAAATTATTTTAAGACACGAACTAATTCAATGTACGTTTATAACTACCGATTGTAAAAATCATGTGAACTGTTGGGTAACGTAAGAAACTTCTTATTTCGGCTGAATTCTGTTTTATTTACCAATAATACCATTTTCCAATCGTAATTATAAATGTTGACCAGAATTACTTCAACTTTTTTTACTTTTACTAAATACGTGAATTAGGACTTGTGAAAAAACTTATATGAGGAGTTTCGCTTGCATCCCGTTGAACTCTTTTAAATTCCATGAGTAATAGTTTAAAAGTCATTTTGCGCTACACACCTACACACTTACAAGTTTTTATATTGAGATTTACGTAACCCTTAAGACAAACCGCCTATCGAAAGATGTTTAAATTACATTTGACCTATGCACCTATGATGAAAAATAACTAATAACTGGCAAAACTATAAAACAATTATTACGTACATAAATGCAACTTCATAACATAAAAATAACGAAAATTGAAACTATCTATACGTCGTGATTTTTTTTTATATTTTAGAAAACATTCGATCACTCTAATAAAGCTGAAGAGTTGATATTATAACGCGCTAATCTTAGGAACGCTATGAGCCGAATTAAAAATATATGTGCTACTAAAATTTGAATTTTATTTCGTTATGTTTATTTTTGAAATTATATTTTTTATGTGCGATAGACTATATGCTTTAGACTATATAACATCACAATGCGACCAATAGGAGCGAAGCAAATGTGGAAATGACGGTTCCTCTTTACATGATCTAAAGAAATGTCCACGACGATATATCTTTTAAATTTACCTCGATAAATCGTTATTACGGTACACAAGTTTGGTCGAAATTAATGCATTATTACCAATAATTTATTAGAGGTGTTTCAAGAGAACAATATCTTGCAAACAACGAAACAACGTTTACCGGATCAGCTAGACAATGAATAAACGACCAATCTTCAAATTCCAATAAAGCAATTGTGTTTCCACGCTCAATTAAGATATAGTTGCACCTTTTTTCATCTCGAATACTTCCAGCGTGGGTGCCGCTCAGACACAATGCCTGCAATTTGACACCAACGCGCGGCTTTGCCACGAAGGACTCATTCAGGGCGCTCCGCAAAAGACAGGAAGTGAAGGACAACGTACGATAGAACCACTTACCCGCCCTCGATATATGAAACCAGCAATTAGTGTAAAATATACTCGGACGGAAGCGCGATGCTGGTAGGCCGTGCCGGTGCAAATCTTGTACTCGAGAAATCTTCTAAATTTATATTTATACTAACATTATAAAGCAGGACAGTTTGTTTGAACGCACTAATCCTAGGAACTACTGGCTCAAATTGAAATATATTTGTGCTAGTTGGAGGATTTATCGAGGAAGGCTTTACGCTATAAAACATCAGGGAAATATGGCCCCAATATTCACGTCTTTTAGAGTTTCTGCTACATCCGCTGCGAAAACGATTCAAGATACCCAAAATATGTGTATGAAATAATTAGTCTTCTTTAAATAATCTAATTACACAGTATATGTCTATATTTTAAGATTAACTCACAAGAACCCGTTTTCTAAATTTTGGTTGTAATTCTTCATATGGCAAAAGAACCTTTGTCTGTAGTTTACGCGAGTAGTACACAATTAAAAACAGTTTAACGGTTTAAAACGCGGTATACTTTAGTTAAACTTGTTTGATAATTATTTTTAACTACGGCCCGTGGATTAAGTGGAGACCAGGGCTGCTGCAAAGCATCCGAAACGTCGGCCCGTAGTTATCGCGTTTTAAACCGTTAAACTGTTTTATTGAAAAGAACCCTTGTCAGATCAGCTAGTAGTAGCTTTTTATTACTTTACATATTTTAATTCCAAAGTTAGAGGAATCATTTCATTTTACACATTAATAAGTTGCTTCTTAAGGCTAGAAGAGGCTTAGAATTAGGTAATCGCTATATGTAGAAAAGTACCTACTTTTTAGTTGTAATATAATTGATACGAATGTAGAACTAGTTTATTTTTTTTTAACAAAGTTCAAATTTAAACGTTAACGTTTAACGTTTTACGTTTTTTTTAACGTTTCGGGTGCCTTCCAGTAACCAAGTTTTTGCAAGTCTGCTGTAGTCGAATTAAGCAATGACTTAGACGTCAATCGCATTTTTCAGGACACTTAAAGGTAAGTAAGACTATTTATATACTTATCTATAGGTATGCTAAACCTATTAACATTAATTATCTCTTGTTAGAAGATAAAATTAAGCCTGTGCATTGAACAAGTGTAATCTATCATTCGTCTATTGAGAAAGCCGACGTCGTTTCGGCTGTCTTGTCCTGCTGAGAATTTTTTCACAAACAACAAAAACGCAGTAGCCCCCAGATTTATGGCGTTTGCAACGATCATAGCGCATTAGTAGTTAGCATTGTGCACTGCATGTGTTCGCTTTATTCAAAGGAGAACAGTGGCTTGCCAGGCTATTGTATTGGTGCTTTAACACCTAAAGCGCTTCGTGACTTCATCAGGTCTGTGCCGAAAGTACAGGGAAGCTATATCGTCGCTTTATTTGTCGAAAATGTTTCATTGTTCTACCTAGTCATAAACATGTCGACAGGTTCTTTTAGTAATGATTCTATCCGCTTACAGTAGCTCAAGTTATTTCGCAGAATAGAATTGGTCGTTTTTGATGGTAAGGTTCTAACAGCTAACTTAGTCAATTCTTACGTAATATAAGTATTAAGGTTTAAAACACGATATATTAGTTAAAATTATTTGAAAATGATTTTTAACTTCGGTCCGATGTTTTGGATGCTTTGCTGCAGCCGTGGTCACGGGGAGAAAAAATCATATTCAAATAAGTTTAACTAATATATCCCGTTTTAAACCGTTAAAGTGTTTTATTTAAATGTGTACTACTTGCGTAAACTATAGACAGTATTTAATTAACCAGTACATGCTATATATTATATATGTATATAAAAGTTTAATATGATCCATAACTAAACATAATTGGACTTTCCCTTGATAATAGGACCAACTTAAGGTAAGCTTTTAGGCTACTTAGTCCCACCGAGTTAAGTAAATATCCCATACCTTCTATAGGTATACCAATTACATTTTTTCCTTACATCCTATTATAAATGAATCTAACTCTAATATTAAGTGAGTCATAGGTATCTCCTGCACTTAGGGAGAATTATTTTACTTTAGCGTATTGATTTTTTAATTTTCATATGCGAGCGTTATATGAGGTTCTGATGGCGTAGACAAGGGCGTTTAGCAAAACAAAAGAAGTGCGCAGCGGTCGGGCGAAGAGAAAGGAAACGTTTTCTAACAGAGCGGTGTCCGTTAAAACAAAAGCAAAGAACGATTTAACAAACTGCCATATTTTAACAACGTGTAATTAAAGGTTCGGCTCCGCTCGAATATGCATAAATCATGCGTCTGCCGCGAACTGCGGACCGAAATAGAGAAAAAATTAAGCTCCGAGCCTGGGAGTCGGGGAAATAGCTATTTTGTTTATTAGATGCGAGTTCAAACGATTTACATTATAGTTAACCATATACATTTCTCATACATTGTTATAAAGAAATAGCACAAAACGTAATTATTAGAAAATAATGATATACAGTGTAAACTCTATATAGCGACACTGAAGGGACTGTGCATGTTATGGCGTTATAGAGAGTTGTCGTTAAATGGAGAGAAGAAACATTGTATGAAAAACAAGCTAAACCAACCAAAGCCAATTAATTTCGACGCTTAAGAGAGTTTGTTGTTAAATAGAGTGACGTTACATGGAGTTTACACTGTATTTTTTAAATTATATAATATCGTTATATATCGTAATTATGTAGTATTTATTGCGCATTGTTAAGATTTGTTGTTAGTGTCAATATCTATTTGGATTTCACCTGTAATGGCAGGATATATTTATGTGTAAATAAATAGATAAAAAAGACAGTTTAATTATACTCTTTTATGGAAGGAATTAACTTATGAATACTATATTTGCATTTATTTGTTTGTTTAATAATGTGTTTTAGTAATATTATAAGTACTTCGACCTTAGACTATTCTATAATGTTTTTTACAATATTCACATGTAACGGAGCTCTGTATCCTAGTTATTCATTTTTTATTATTACCTTTTTCGTCAATCCTCAAAGTTAGCTTGTATGTTTTTTCAGTAAACCGTTTCTTATTTGATTAGTTTCGAATTTCTCAATAATTGAACATCTAGGGGATTTTTATTTGTTAATGATAATTAGGTACACTAATTTACAAATTTAAATAAAACACTTTAACGGTTTAAAACGCGATATACGCCAGCAGCCGTGGGCACGGAGAGATGCAAAGCATCCGAAACGTCGGGCCCAAGTTAAAAATCATTTTCAAATAAGTTTAACTAATATCTCGCGTTTTAAACCGTTAAAGTGTTTTATTTGTATGTGTACTACTCGCGTAAACTATAGACAGTATTTAATGTCCAAATATAGCCTAACAATTTAACGATTCTACAATACAAACAACCTTACTTATATTTTAGAAACGTTTCACAAAGGCCATAGTACCTAATTAAAATCATATTATATATATTCCATGCTGATATTAACCCTAATATTATTGTTCAATAACAAACAAACAAGAACATGGACTAAGACGTTTGTAACGTGGAAAGAACGCGCTTGTGCTTTCCCTCAAGAAATTATAAGCTCATAATTCACAGGCGGAGAGGGGTGTGCCGGAGGCTGGAGCCGCAAGGGTGAAGGGGGGATGGGTGCGCGCGCGCAAGTCAGAGCCTATGGGTCTCAGGGGGTAAGGGGCGCGGGGCGAGGTGACAACCGCTCGTTACGTCTATCCCAAGGCAGTTATTAAAAACGTCTCGGCGCGAGCGGTGCGCCGCCCTGTAATTATCCAGTTGATTCTCGCGCTGTTGTCACCACACTCACCGGAAATGCAGTACGCGGAACCACCCCCACAACAGGTACGTACACCGCCTAGTCTTACCTCACCCTCTCTTCTGATTAGATAAATGAATAGTTTTTTAAAGTTCAACTTTTAGATATTATTATTTTCTTTTTTAACTAAAGTCCGTTTTTTATCTTTCACAGATGGTAATGATGAGCGGTTACGGTTGTGGATATGGTCGAAGTGACGCTATATCCCCAGCTTCCGACCTCTCTTCCTGTAGCAGCGCCTCTTCGGGTGCATGGTGCGGCTCTACTTGGCGGGAATTACCCCCATACCCTCAGTACCCAGCTTATTGGCCCACACCCACTACAACCGAGGATTCACGCGAGCTCCAGAGAAGATGTGCTAAGTGCCGGTGTCCCAACTGCCTGACTGAAGCGGCTGGCTTCGGTCCGAACTATGGGAAAGACGGTGCGAAACGGGAGCACGTCTGTCATGTACCTGGTTGCGGAAAAGTGTATGGAAAAACATCGCATCTCAAAGCTCATCTCAGATGGCACACTGGCGAAAGGCCCTTCGTCTGCAACTGGCTGTTCTGTGGGAAGCGGTTCACACGTTCCGACGAGTTACAGCGTCACCTGCGAACACACACCGGCGAAAAGAGATTCGCGTGCCAGCTATGCACCAAACGTTTTATGCGTTCCGATCATCTCGCGAAACATGTGAAGACGCACGCGAATAGCTCGAAGAAGAAGAAAACAAAAGAAGAAGAACCCAATCCTGCAGAGAAACGTGAAGTGCAAACGAGCGAGTTAGGTAGTTCGAACTACGGGACGGTACCAGTTGTAAATACTGCTAAGCCGCTGTTGAGCTACGCGGCGGCGGCACCCCATGTGAACCCAAATACTTACCATAGTGGCGTCATTAGTGGTGGAGTGGTGTATGGAAACAGTTGGTCGGATCGCCAAGACTTGTATGCGCGATCACCAGCTAAAGACTCTCGATTTTACCACCAGTATGCACCATTAAGCGCTTACCAATGCGCCACTAAAGACAATTACTCAGTGTTCCAAGGACATTACGGTCTACAACCACCGGTCGCTATAGGACAGTAGTTTACGAGTAAATATTTTTTAATTGCAGTAGTGTGTATAAGTTAATGCTAAGTTACCATTATGTAAACTAAGTGAACGTGATGTGCCTTTATATATGTTATGTTTGTATTTTTAAATTACAGAATAAATGCGTTTTAAAACATTTCTTTTGGTTTTATATGTCTTATCCTTCTGATTGATACAAGAAAACGTTCTTTACTAATTTTGAATTAGGGTAAATTTAAAAGATTTTACATTGAAAAAATATTACGACAGGGACTTGACCTGGCATCCACAACGTTCCGTGCAACCTCGATGGTTAATTAAATTTAATTTATATAGTGAAAATACAAAAGATTTTATAATAAGAATATCCACTAAGTAAATTGGAATAAATTACGTTTTGTAAATTTAGTGAAAACAGACATGTAAAGAAGTGTGTGCTACGGAAAGCTACGCGTTTTGTGTAGCAACGTTACGCGCGTAGCACTTACCAGATAATCGTTTTTAACATTTACTGTACACTTAATTATTATTTATAGACGCAGGCTTTACACGCTGAATATTTTGAATATTGTTTTAACGATGTATTTTTCACATCAGTGTTTATTTACAACAAATACATTCATTTGTAATTAAATTTTACTAAATCGATTTGACTTTTTGTTTGGTTTTTTTATTTGGTTTAGTTATGTTTTAGACCATAAGTCTTGTTTCCCTACTTTTGACATGACGACAAAAAATTACTTAAAATGTATACTGACACACATCTGAGTAAGAACATAATATATATTTTCTTACTATGCGATATGTTATAGAGCCATTTAAAACGACTTATTTCATTTACAGATTTTACTTAGTTGAAATAGTATAACAAAATAGCTTCCGCTTTTCGCCGCAAGATGTCACCAGCGGTCGCAGTGTCGCTCGGCCGGTGCATCGAAGGGTAATTGCGGCGGGCTATTATCTGGGCGGCGCTCGGTGCGCATGGCGGCCAGTGCGAGCGGGATGCATTCGATAATACGTAAAACAAAACGAGGGAGTAATGGTAAAAAACGAAACACGCAAATTATAGTGAGAAATGAGGCAGCCGGTAGCGGTGGGGGCTTACGGCGGGGGCCGGCGACCGGCAGTTGCGGTCGCTCGGCGCACGCAGACCGCCCGCGCTCCGTCGCCTGCGCCGCTCGCGAGTGACTCAGTGAGTGACATGCGCCGCCGAGCCAGCCATGAGCGGCAAGGGCTCTTCCTCACCGGACCTGCTCATGAATGTGAGTCCCGCTCTCTATTGGGCAATTGCTCGAGCAAAGTGTACGACATCAAACATTCTGAACAAGAATCTTTATTTTCTTATCAGAGGCTCTAACTAAACATTAGACGTTAACCAACAGTAACAAAACCAGTAATAATGTTAAAAGGAACTAGATATTTGTGATTGACATACCTATATACCAGATATTTCATGTGTCAATACCACTAACTTTTTCCTTTAGAATCGCGATAGCATTTACAGATGTAAACTTGGGTAAGGACTGTATGAGAAATAGGTACCTATACAAAAAAAAGATATATAATTATGTAGATTTTATCAATACCCAACTAGTCATTCAATCACGTTATTTTGATTACGAGTAGAAAACTAATACGATCAAATGAGACGTGAAACCAAATCTGAAAACAGACGAGCTTATAAATTGGTCTGTTACTTTTAAGGGTGCCCCTGGGTATTCCCGATTTAGCACGCACCATAAGCAACTTCACGAGGTTCCCCCGAGTTCGACCTCTATTACTATTCATGACGTTGTCCCTTCGGAGTCTGCTGGAATCAGACCCGACGGAACGCTTACTAACGTTATTTAGAGAACAAGTTTTTATATTACCTATATCAAACTCGTTGTATTGTATTTAAAGTAAAGTATAATTAAATAGATAAAAGTCAGTTTTAAAAGTTTAAAACCCGAAATAATTTTCTTAATATTAAGTACGTCGATGCTTAAGTGAAACAAATTATTCACTAAAATTATGTATAACGACTAAAACTAATGTAAGTTTATGAGTGAACTTAATGAATTTTTTATAAAAATTCTCACAAAAAACAACCTATTAAATTGTTTTAATTGCGTTCTTAATGGCACGTAAAAAGGTACCGACCGTCGACGTAATTTATCCCGGCTACCATTTGTTTACAATTTCTGACGTAAAGATCGTTGTTATTACAAGAATCGGCGATTTGAGTTAGTTCCGAACGTTACCGGCAGCTCGTAAAGAAAAGGTAATTCAATTAGCCGAAGTCAAATAAATAAAGGCCCGGATCGGCACTTCGTCCCGTGACCAATTCCTAATGACACATAGAGCCTTCGTCCATTTTCTACTCAATTTCCTTTTCGTATTAGTTCAATCTAGAGGCAGGACTACTGGCGCCAAAAATTATGCCGCGACGGCCGTGTCGGGCGAGGCTAATCAGTTTAGTGTTATATCGTTGGGCGAACGGCTCCTTTGTTATAATGTGAAAAAGAAAGAAATTTATGCGTTTTCGGCTTCGTGTGTGAGTTTTTTGTGGGAATGTAATTAATAATTCGGCGGCAAAACTAACAGTGTTTTCGTTGTTGCGTCGGCCGCTTGATTGATGTGTGACGGACGGCGCGATTAGTTCTAGTTATCTTAGGACACTAGAGCAATTATAGTTAACATTAACTTTGAACTTAAATGTGATATTAATTGTTCTTTTAAAATTACACAGAAAATTACCACTATTTCACTAGTATTTAGTAATTCACTCTAAGTTATCATAAATTATATAAATTCAAGATTGTTTGTAGTTTACTCAAGTAGTACAAATTTTAACAAGACTTTTAACGGTTTAAAACAAGATATGTATTTTTTTTAATATAATCAACCGACAATATTAGGTGGTAGTTAAATTAATTAAAAATAACTAAGGCGCCGCGTTTAAACCGTATTTTTTTTATTACATTCAGTAATTTACGTATACTAGTTCGAGCGATCTTCTGAGTAGGTATCAAAATCTTTTAAATTAAACTCGTGAGAAGCTCTCTTACAAATTTAGTCCTTTATATTTTCCATCATAATATTTTAAGTTTTCAAAGGTTATTTATTTTTTGAAGTTAATTATTTGAACAAAATTGTTTTCAATAAAACAAAAACAATATTGAATTGATTAAACGCGTTTTGCCGGAACTCCGACAAACCTAAGGTTTGCGGCGTAGGCGCACCGCTTTACATTTTACAAGTCACGATGTAATGTGGCCGTGCTTCAGGTGTAATGGAGGACGGGTATTTGTTTTGTAATGGCATCGGCTACCAGCATGACTCGCTCTTAAACAATGGATGGCTGATCAGGTTTTAGTACCTTAGGCGCTAGTTCTGACAGAGATAGTAAAGATTGGGATTCGCTTTATGAAAGCTGAAATGCCCTATGTAAAATGTCTGTGTCACTGTATTATGGACATTTGAGATCAACGTCAAAGATTAATCAAGATTTGTTTATCTTTTTCACATCTAATGTTATATGTTGCAGCTTTATAATGCAAGAAAATAATGTTATGCATATCCGAAAAAATCTAAATCAGTATTCATTTATTTGATTTATATGTACTGTTTTTTTATGATAAAGGTGGACAGACAAGACCTGAAACCGAAGTGCGATTAAACTTCACGGCTCTTTCATCTGTGAACTGTAGTTTGTAACTCGGATGGAATTTTAATATCCTACCACCCATCTAGGTTTCAATACAGAATTCAACGCGCTTTGGATAAAATATAAATGGATTACATACAAGCAAACGGCCCGTTGAATATACTGCTACTGTACCTAGACCAATAAGCGCGTCCAATAATATATCGTTTTTCTTATTATTTACTAGAACTATAGTTGAATGCGAAATAAAGTGATTTATTATTATTAATGTGTGTAGCAGGATGCCAGCGATTCCAGTTCCTGTGGCACGCATAGAATACCGTTCGCCACGAACACTCGCCAACGTTTTAATTGACCACGCGATGTTACACATCTCGTTCGAGTTTTTCTGCTCTCCTCAAATTGCTCTAAAGTGCTTAATAAGCGATGCGTGCAATCCGCGTTTCCCCGTACGTGAGCGCTTATTTTACATAAATAGTTTAGCTCGATAAACTAATACTGTTTCTCGGTACAGTAATTGCGCCTGTGACAGGCTTCCGTCGCGTTTGCAGAGGCCGGCAGTTAGCCCCGACAGAACGCTAGTTGCGCTGCGCATGCGGCTCTATGTTTGACATTTACGACCCATCGACGTTGAAGGCATCAATTTGATCCGTGCTACTGGATAAAAATGTCACATCGACAGCTGCGGGGACGACCGCTGGGCAAATACACTTGCGCGATTACTATGCGTAATTATCCCATTTTACACATCGTATATATTAACATATAGCCAATTTATCAGTAGGTGCTTTTATAAAATGTAAATAAACACCACTATGTCATTCTTCTTATTATTTCAAATCGTTTGATTCGTTTATTAAAATGGTTTAAGCGATAGTTAGAAGTGAGTTTGTTTGAATTCCGTAACTATGGTATACACTATGGACACATTTATATATCATCGCTCTACGGTTTTTATTGTCAGATAAAATGTTAATAAGATTACCGTGCCCTGGCCAAGCGAAATTAAAATGTATCATTATATTGTGAATGCAGCAATAATAGGCGATGCTTTTACTCATTCAGCTACGAAGACATATATATAGATGTATATTATATATAACAGTAAAACATTTTAACGGTTTAAAACGCGAAATGTATCATTAAAACTTAATTACAATTTATTTTAACTTCAGCCGAATGGTTCCAAAACATTAAGACGTTTTTATTTAGTGGGGGTACTACTCGCGTAAGCTACAGACAATACTTAATAGAACTACGTTTTTAGGTTAGGTTTACAATTACTGTAAATCTCAAGGAATGTTAAACTATTCAGCATTTATGTTGTAAATGTATGCGCAGATACCTTGATATAGATTGTAGATGCAAGGTCAAGAATAATGTCTAATAGGTACGCAATTTACTTAACCAGCTCATGATAATTCATAATAATGCATTATTACTACAGTTATACCTAAACCTATTATTTCTTTCTCGGTTACAAAGAATACTTAGTACATAGATTTTTATAACGTTGTTATTATTTAAATAAAATAACAGGTACTAATTAAACAATATAAAACGCGAAATAGACGAAGTCTATTAGTATACTAGATGTGTCAGCCACACAGCCACCAAATCCTTTTCATCGTTATCTTTATAAGCTGTTCTATAGCCTCGATAAATGCTCTAACCAATACAAAAATCATCATATCATTTAACGCAAAGCAAGAATTATTCTTCGAGCAATCGAGGAGTTAACATCTCCTGATGATGCCGTCCACACGTGATGGCGAAACGTCAAGAACCTCTTCTCGCTCACGTCGGCCGAACAGCCCGAAAGACAAAGATATGCTGAACGATGGCCGTGAAAGCCTTACACAATTTATCAATACAAAAATATTTTTTTTAAATTCGAACCGAGATTAGCGCGTATCAACAAACTCCTCAGCTTTATATATATTACTACAGCAGCCGGTAAAGGAGGCATTGATGGACGAACGTGTGAATGTGAGCCGAGGGACACATACGTAAGTCGCCATGTTGCAGATTGCAAAATTTTTAAACTATGTGTTTAACTTTAAACAAATATGATTTTAAATAGTAAAACATTTTTCATACAACTCCGCTGCTCCAGCAGTACAAAACATTTGATTAATCTCGAAGAAGAATTATTAAAATAATGCTCATATTTCCATTTAGATTTTTATCGGTTAAAACGTGTTTTATTTAGAACAATAGGACTTAGTGACGAAACTAAGAACTTAAATTTTCTTTTATACGTCGCGAGGGACTCTAGCCAACCCTCTAACGCGATCTCAACTTAGTTAAAATAGACAGCAGTTGCTCCAAATTAACGATTCCAAAATATAATTCGCGTTTCTATTAGTAAAGGATTTCACCTCAAAATGAAAAGGAAAAAGTTATTCATTCAGAGGGAATACATCTGTTGGATTACACGCTGAACCTGTTGCGTAAACCATATAATTATTATGAGTACCTTGCTTGGTATGACGTCAGCCGGTTGGTTCTCAATTGACATCATCCAGGAATGCACGCTTTGAAGAGTTATTGTACGAAAACTGCAATTGGTAGCGAGATTGGTATAGATTAAAGATCTTTGTGCTAAACAGAAATAATTATGTTTTTTTAGGATATTTAGAAACTTAGCATTCTTTTTACGCTTTACGCTTCTCTAAAGCTCAAGGTGTCAAATTCGAATCTGAAAA